TGTCTGACACACCAAGTCTAACATAGCCGCACCATATTTGGCCGGCTAAACATATTGATTTTTGTTGATGGTACCCTATCTGATTTTGTAGAGGACACTTGCAGGGGTATGTCTTTGATGCTTTTAGCTCCACCACCTTCAAATGGATGCCATTGTTGTCACTTGTTGTCCCTTCCCGCCTTTGGTTCAGGCGCCTCGCACGTTTGAGTCCGCAGAAACCAAGCCGCAAAGCGCCTCGAAAAGCGGGATCCCGCAGCCAACCGGATCGGTCTGCCGATCGCCAAGGGATGTCAACATACTGCGCCGCAAAAACCTCTGATACTAACCCCGTACAGCACCACATACCGAACCTGAGGTTTGGTGATTGGAGACTATTTATGTAGGCATGGAGGGCCCCAATACCTTTTGAGAAGGTATGTGGGAACTCCTATTTGGTCAACGTGCCTAATTGATCTTGAACAAAAACACGCAGCCAATTAATAACAACAACACGTCACAACCGAGAATCGCCAGCACAGAAACACAGTTTTGCAAAGATCCTGAACATTATTTGATCTGAATCCTTTCGTTCTGGATTCCACGCCAGGTCACGAATGCACCGCACCGGTGCGGGAAAAAGGCATCCCGCCCGTGTCCTGCTTTCTGCTCGCCTCGCCTCGCGAGCTCGCGAGCTTGGCCGACCCGGCTCTCTGCCCGACCAAGGCGCTGCAAGGAGTCCTCTTTGATATGCCTTCGAAGCGCTTCGAAGAACTTCAAGTACCTGTCGCTCCGCTTGGGGCGACCCGTGCGGTTGTCGCTCCGTGTGGTGACCACTGGGTGGCGGTTCCCCATCGGGCCGTTTGTTGGGCGTGTTGAGCAGACCTTTTGTAGCAGAAGCCCCAGGATCAGGTCCGGAATCAGGTCAACACCTGGTGCGTCAGCTTTCGGACGTGAGAGATGGAGAACTGGTACCATCAACACCGAAATCCGTTCCTGACCTGTTCCTGATCTGTAGAGGGTGATTCATCTCTCCATCACCCAGACGTCCCTGGAGCCCCCCCAGAACTTGGGGGTCCGACGGAGAACTTGGAACTTGGGGGTCCGACGGAGCCGCGGACCCCGGAACCCTTCTCCTCTTCCTTTTGGGTCCAACCAACTGAGGATTGGACGCCCTTGGAAGGGGCACTCTGGGAGGATTTTTCATAGGGCAACTCATCGTTGTCCATTTCGTTGGACGATCGGTGATCCTCCGGTGATCCTCCGGTCGTCATCTGTCCACACCAAACGCTCACCAAGTAGAACGAGTCCAGGTCATAGGTATCCAACAACATGCTGTCGCTTGCGGGAGATCCTTGGATGGTGACCGATGATAAAGGGACAATAAGATCTGTCTCTTGACCACTGCTTGGCAGAGCGATACTTCAGCCAGCACAAGCCGACCTCAATGACTATAAGTCAGTAACACATACAAACCGACCTGGCCATGCAGTGGGCAAGTGACAGCCTTCAGGGTGCTGCTGTTCTTGCTTGGCTCGAAAGGTAAAACCGAACCTGAACAATAAGTTCATAAGATATATATATACAGTATATAGACGATATAGTCATCTTGCATTACAATGCATTACATATGTAACTTTGCCAACTGTGCATCTAATTGAAAGCATATAGTAGTCTTGCAATGGTACACATGAAATGACACCAATCACCCTCCCAAAAGGTCCATCTCCCCGCCATCCCCGAAGACTCCAGGGTTTCTTGTCCCCACTGACCACAGCTGGGTCACACGTGGAGGTTGTGCTGGGCCAAGAGCATGGTACCCAGCAACTCGTGGACCTGAAGGCGCGTGGCTTGGTCCAATGATGTCTTTTCGGGCATCATAGAGGGGTCGATGCCAGGTTACCCGGGGGTATCTCCTCTAGGATCAACCAAGCCATAAGCCATCGAACAGCTTCTTCCAAGCGACCTTGTTGGAGTCAAGTCCCTATTACAGGCCTGTTTGTGACCTCACACCAGGGGATCAAGCCTGGTCACGAACGGAAGCACCATCTATAGCACCTACAGCTTGGTCAACTCAATCACTGAGGAGACCGCGGACCCAAACGGAACCGCGACCCCAACGGCGCGATCCGCCGCTCAGGAGAGCCACAGCGCCATCGACTCGCGGAGTTGAGTCAAATCGAAGACCACCCACCAGTACACCAAACACTCCAATAATCCCTATGGATCCACTGCTACCTTCTCAGAAGGTAATTGGACCCTCCTGGCGCCTACATAAGTCTCCAATCACCGTGGATCCATAGGGAATGGGACTGGCACATTTGGGCATACATAACATCATCCATGGAGTGTTTGGGTGGCTTCAGGGGAGTTGGCACCCCAACAGTTCATGGGACTGGCATATTTACCGACATTGACCCTTAGTCCCCAGCCCAACGCCGCGCTCATGTAAGCAACATATTCCATACATGGACTGTTTGGGGTATAGTTCCACGTCGGGGTGCTCGAACCAACAGAGGAAGTCGGGGTGCCCCTGAGTGACGAGAAACCACCCCGTTGCGACTCGCGACACATTTGACTTGTGCGTTGCTCTTGGTTGCTGCAGGTGTTTGATCATGTAAGAAGGCCAACCCACGGTGGTCGGAGATCTATCTGTTCAACTAAATTATAGCATTTGTTGGTCAACCATGGCAGTCCACCATGTGTTTGACCAGGATCATCCAAGCGCCTTTTGAAGAAACAGTACAGTACCCCATGCAGTGAGACCTGGATAGCACACGCATATCAAACACATGTGGGACTGATTTGCGAGAAGATGGTGAATCCGGATTTGTTGACATTCCTTTTGCAGTAAATTCGAGTGTGGCAAATGTTCTTCTTCATCCATATGCATGTTTGGAAGAAACGTTTCTTACATGGATGGGTCATAGGAACAAAGGGATCTAACCCCAAACACTCCATGGGACTGCCATATATGCCGATCAGTTGACCCCCATGGCACCACCACCCCTGGCCGTTTCTCGGCAGTCCGGACTGGCAGTCCCTTGGAGTGTTCAGGAACTATTCCATATACTTCTCAGCACAAGAACTTTCGGCTCTCTATCAGCCCTTGGGGCCTGACCCAGGTCGTGTCCCTCGTGTCACGAACGCGATCGTGACGTCAAGAAGCTGCAGCTTGGTGGGAGCCAAGCTCGGACTGGAATGGTGACCTACATGGATGGGTCATACATGGGGTAGTAATATGTGTGTAACTGTTCCATACATGGATGGTCTGGGATCTGTGAAAGGAAAATCTAATTGAAAACACCATGTCGATGTGCCCCTTTTTATCCAGCTACATCTTCAGAAGATACTGAGTTGGAGCCTTCAAACAGCTACTTCAGGCCAAAACGAGGACAGGCCAACCTTCATCGGACTCCCGCCTCGTGAAGATGGTACAAATACGCCCGGGAGTACTGCTTCACCGGGGACCACTCACCTTTTCGCGGCTTACACAGCTGGAATGACGCCAGGGAGTGCGTTGACCCGTCCTTCTTTTCGGGTGTACATGGACATCTGTTCGTCTCATTAAGAGGAAAGGAAATAGAATTGTGCTTAATTGATGGAGGCCATGTGTTTTCTGCTATACATGGAGGTACATGGAACAACGGAGAACCTTCTTGTGGAGAACTGTCGGGTTCTACCCTCTACCTGGAGACACCTGAACTGCTAAACATCTTGTCGTATCGCCACCAGTGATCCAATCCTCTTGGAATAGCTCTCCGCCTGGGGCAGTGAACTGACTGTGCATCCTCTTTTGCAAACGATGAGTGCTCAAACATGCCCATGATCCCATTTGGGAACCCAAGTCCAACGACCGTGGTAGGACACTGGCACCGTTTTTGGCAAGTTTCCCAACGGCATTCAAATCCATGGAGAAAAACATCTATAAAAAGAAATTGTCTTTACTTGTGCAAGTGTAATTTTTTGTTTTCCACAAGAACTCTTGGAAAGATGTCATACCATGGGACCTCGCCCCCAAGCTGGGTGTCCACTGCGGTCACCAGCCCGGCCCAGTCAGACTTGGACAGTCCAACCAACTCAGCTCGGCTACCCGGCTACCCGAGCCGATCTCTACAGTCATCACTCCCCCAATACAAACAGGTGATACCGAGTGATACCAAGTCGTCAGGATACCAAGTGATCCCAGTGATACTGGGATACCAGGTATTACTGCCCCAATACAGTCGTCAGTGATACCAAGTTCTCGACCACTCAATATTAACTTAGATCAACAGTTGCAAACCATGCCCTGCGCTCTCTCTCTGCTGAGTGCCACACTGATAGGCCCAAAGTCCTGCGCAAAATGGGACCATCACGCATGATTTGTTGGATCGGACTGAGTTAAAACATGCTAAAGTATGTTAAAGCTCTATATATTACACTTTTATGGTCATGTGAGGAAGCGTCAAAATTCTTTGTGTGAGTGGTATTCATTGCAGATTAGAGAGTCCCCTATCGTTTTCCATGTTTTGGGATTCACCATTCTTGCTTCACTACACCTATCGTTTTGCATGGTTTGTGCCTCTGTGGAAACCTTCCCCCTCAACCTAAAACAGAATACGAACGAGGAGCAAGCACACATACACACACACAAGAGGCACCAGTGGGTAAGAGAACTTCCCATGAGCATTCATTCGGGTGTTGTGACAAAACCGATGAAAGCATTGCAGACATGCATGTCCATCAGAATTCTGGTCACCGAAACCACATGAGACTATATGCGCACCTCCCTTCCACAGGCAACCCACCTGCCCCCAGCACGATTCTTTTCAGCTATCCTGGGACGTGCCAGAACTGTCGGAACTGGAAGACGACGATTGCGAATCTAAGTCAGCACCTCCTTCCTGCATTTCCTTTCGGGTTCGCGCCCTCTCCTTTAGCTTCAAACTCCGCTGCTTCCGTTTCTCAATGAGGCAACGGTAGTCAGGAGCACCCGTGAACTTTTGGTCAGCTCCATGGGCTAGCAAATGCGCTTGCGCAGTTTACCGCCTGGTCAGCGATGTTTCGTCCGTGCGTCCCAAAGGCTGAACCTCGTGATCCCACCTTCGTCGGCCTTCCTCTGTCCAGAAGCCTCGCCTGTACTCAGGTGAAGCATCCTTGCTGGGAAGCAGAACTGCCTCACTTGAAAGGTTGTTTGCAGCTGCCATGTTCGAAAAGATGTGGTTGAAAATCTTCACCCCCAGTCTGCTGTGCCTGTGAACCGCAGGCGCGCTGGAAACACAGTATGTTCTGGTGATGTGGAAGCCTTTTGCGGTGAGACGGAACCTCTCTGCCACTGGCTGCTTCTTTGACAAAACATCATTGATGACAATCAAAAAGGGCGCAGTGGGGTCCTTTTGCCTCTGTGCCAAGTTCTTCTCCTGCAAGAACTTGCACAAATCAGTGATTTCCACCAAATCCTTTCCTTGCCGTCTTGCATCTTTGACATAGCTTTCAAACAAAGCAAATAGACGGTCAGCTTCACTCTTAAAATGCTTCTCCACTCCATAATGCACGCATACCCGGGCCTTGTGTCTCAAAGGCATAATGCAGCAGTAGTGGTGCAAAGCTTCATAAGACCGAAAATGAGGGCCTGCATCTGAAAGGAGGTGAACCACTTCAACTGGAGCAGTGCCTCTGCGCGACTGGAAAGCTTGCTCAATGCACTGGGATGCACGACATGAAGTGTGATCCAGAATGTCTGACAAGATCAGCACCCTTGTCCACAAAACCTTGCCATCTGCAGCTCGCTCACTGACAATAGACCCGAAAACTGAAATATCCTTTCGCGCGTTGGCGAAAAATTCTTCTCCTGTCTGTGTTGAGCGGATGGGGAGGGTGACGAGTTCCTTGAAATCAGACAAAATGACAACAGCGCCTTCCGGTGGCTCTGCAAGCAACTGAAAAAGCAACGGCTTCTGAAACTCATTTGCGCTTCTGTGAAATAGGTAGCTATCCAGAAGCTTGCTCATGGCTTGCAGCTGCACGCATATGTCGACCTCCTTTGCATGTAGGGTGACTCTCAACCTTTGCGCGAAACCACTGCCCCTCGCTCGCAAGCGACTCAAGCCACAAGGCCATTCAGTTCCCCGATGTTCGCGACATGCCTGTGTCTCCGAGCGGTGGTCGATGTAATGGCGGAGAAGCCGCAAGTGTAGGCCGGGCTTGTCGGCAAGGTGTGCCTGCGCCTCAAACCCATCCCATGGAGCGAAATAAGCGGGCATTAGGGCTTCAAGCTCTTTCCTCACGGTGTCCAAGAGATTCTTCACCTTACCGCTCACAGACGCGCCAGGTGAACAAGAAGCAATGCGACCTCACACACACAACAACAACTACTAAACATGCTTGCAAACAAAGGCACCTGGGGCAGCACTTTCGTCTTCAAGTCATAGCAGTAGATGCAATAGTCGTTGATGCTTTCTGCTCCCTTGTAGTGGCGCAAATGCTTCTTAGCAATTCTCCAGAAGGTCGACAAACTCATGTTTCCTTGAAGGCTGCCCCAATTCTGCCACACAGCCTTCTTGTCTGACGTCAAGGTATTCACCTGACAGCAAAGAAATTTCTCCATGACTCTGTACAAATCAACTGCAAGTTCATACTTCCACGAAAGGTCTTTTTTAATGCAAGCTTAGTGGCAATCATCCATTCCTGCGCGCGTGGGTCCCAAGACAAGCGGCTGCTTGGCTGGGACGTCTCTGCAAAAGCTTTGTCAACCAAGGCTATGAGCTGCTTGTTTTCTGTTTTGTTTGGCCGCCCGCGCTGTCTCTGAGGCTCTTTTTCGACCACGCCCGCTCTTTCCCAACGAGATTTGCCGATTCCATACCCGAACTCTTTTGCCCGAGGCAAGGTGCCACAGAACTCACGGACCATGGTGTCAATGTGGTCACGCACTGACCTGACTCCTTCGGATGGATTTGGCAAATCAAACCCCGGGCTTTTGGAAAGGCGGGAGAGGAAGAAGGTGGAAATCGACTGCAAAGACTCACCTGAAGTAAACAGCCCATCGTTCCCAATCGATGCGCTAAATTTCTGCGCCGCTAGCGGTAAAACATCTGGCCACTTCCCTGACAGCTTCTGGAACACCTGTTGAACCTGCTTCACAGCTTCCTCAGAGCTTGCGCTCTTCTCCAGGCAGCTCAAGAGAGTAGCTCTTTGTCTCCATTTCTGCAATTTGGCGCTAGAGGCGGTCTTCAATATCGCCTTCTTGAGGTGTGCGCCCTTCAGAACTTTTTTTGCCGAGTTCTGACCCTGGGCCTTAGCTTTTGAAGAAGAGGAAGAGGGAGAAGGCTTGGGCACAGGAGCCTGCGACACTGCCTTAGCGGCCTTAGCACGCTCTATGAAATCTGTTCTCTCCTCTCCGCTCAACTCCTTCCATGTCTCTTTCCATACGCAGTCTTCAAGCCAACGGCGCTGCTTTTCTGTGAGGCCTACGGCAGCACTTCCTGCGTGTTTGCCTCTAGGAAGCTGCGCTTGACCAGGGACAGCAGCCCGCGCTCGTTCAACTAATTCATTCCACTCCTCCTTACGCGCCAGCATCTCCCTGATGAGGAGCCGCAGACCCGCCATGACAGCAGCAGACTTTCCCATGGCTATCACAAGACCAGGTTCAAACCCACTGAAACACGTCACCACATTCCGTATCAATGGGCCCCCCTTGCAGAAGGCTGTCCAGATCTACTTCTGGGGTATCGTTTGGGTATCGTTCGGTGTATCGTTTTTTTCACGCGTCCTTCACCCCAAACTGTAGCCTTCTTCGATGTTTGGGCCTTGCGCCCAGCTTTCACCTACAGAGCCGCAAGGCCATACACGCACGAGAGGAATGAGCAAGCGCAAGCTACACGCGCAGTGTCAAGCGAATCGTAAATAGAAGTCTTAGCCCTCCACTTCTCCGCATACCATATTTGACACTGTGGCACGCGGATCCACCGTCCCAGATTGTGATTTCACCAGCAAACATCCACTGTCTTCGTTGGTGCGACGCGATATGTAGCTCAATCCAGCGCCACAGATTCATGTCACTAGCTTTCGTTGGTGCAAGACTGATGGCGCAGGTATGTTGGTAAGCGTCCTTACCTATTGTCTTAGGCACAGCAGGCTCCTTGGCAAACTTGCGCGGACAACCCCCTATAGATGAAACCTTATGTGACCAATCGAAACTGAAGGATCAACCGGGAGGGGCTAACACACACTCACACACACAAACAGGGATGGATGCACAAGTTTTAAACAAAAAACATGTGTGATGCTCCAGCACATCAACTTGCTTTTCCACACAAGCGGCCAGCTTCCCCGCAGGCAGCTAGTGCTTTGAAAGTCGTCTAAACAGGCACTTGCGTCTTCTTATTCAAGCGAGTCTTCGGACCCGTGCAAGAGTGACACTTACAAACATCACCGCCTGAACCATGGAGTGATTCAGCGATCTCAGCCGACTTGGCTTGGATCTTAGCTAAAAGACCTGGAGTATTGGAACATGCTCGGATGTTCCTTCCACATCCTAACTTCAAGCAAGCCCTCACACAACAATAGCACTGGCTTCCTGTCACCACCGTTTTCTGAGGCTTCACATCGGTCACGCGGTACTGCCAAGCGCAGGAGTGCTTCGCACGCTTGCAGAAACAACAGTCGAGAGCCTTGCTGTGCTCTATGCGACCAGGGTTACCCTGCTGGCTCCCAAGCTGGGCTTTCAACCGAGTGAGCCGATGAAAGGTCTCTGGGCTTAATGATCCTGGCGGAGAAGTCTTCTCAGTGGACTCGGGCAATGACAAGGGACGCTTCCTGCAAGTCTTCGTGGGTGTGGCTATGACCTGGTGTGGCACTGCTTTGTCTGAAGCTTCGCTGGTGCAACTGGGTTTGTTTTCGGTCGAAGGGCCCTCCTGCTTCGCATTGCTCACAATGTCCGCAGCGGGCACGGTCTTGGAAATCTCCTCCACAAAGGGTAGCTAAGGTAGAAAAATAGGCCCCCTCCAATCTATGGACCTACACCCTTAAAACCCAAATGCTTCGAAGGTTAATTCAACTTGCCAGCTTTAAAAATGGAGCAGGAAATCTTGAAGACTGGACCTCGGGCCTCCCTGGCCATTTGAAAATGACATGCCCTAACAAGGAATCAAGTGTTTTCTGGGTGCTGATAAGGCACTTTCTCAGGCACCTCTTCCGAAGCAGGTGGGGGGACCATATTGCTGCTGTCATCCTTCACATCCAACTCCGGCAGCTTCAGCGCTGCCTGAAGTCAGCTGGCCAACTTAGAGTATGCTCCCCAGCCTAACTCGCCTACACTGGCTCAACCAATCTCACCCCTTTATAAGTTGTAAAAAACTCACATGGACTCATATCACCAATGCCACATCAAAGCCCAGGAGCACGCTTCTGCTCCAAAAAGAACTTCAGCTTTGTGGTGCTTTGCCACCGGTCATCCACGTACACACAGTGATGATGGGATCCCCGGGGTCGCCCGGAAACCGTGAGGTTGAAGTAGCCATCCTGACGCTTGCTTGAAGCTGCGAGGAAATGAAGAAAGTGGCTGTGGATCTGCCCGTGCAATGCGCACTAAGGCCCCTGAAAGAAAGAAACTGGGTAGCCAATCTTTCTGACAAGGTTCGCAACTCGAGAGCCAAGCTTCATGTCGAGAGCTCCAAGCTGCTTTCACCATGCTGCCAGTACATCCTCGCACGCTGCAAGACTTAGGAAGCCCTGCAGGCGGCTCCATCATCAAGTGGCCACACTCACTTTAGAAAAGGTCAAATGGCTGCAGACACACAGAGCTGAGTGACTCAGAGCGATCACGAACCTTGATTGTATGACCGATACTATATATATATATAAAGTGTATTACTGTTCAGAGGGGTATCGTTTTTTAAGAGTCCCCTATCGTTTTTCAAGGAATATTCAAATTCCAAGTCACAAATGAAACCCTCATTACTAAAGTGGTTGTCGTTAATTTCAAAGTTGGCTCATGTCATGAGATGCCATGAGTTTGGAAGAGCAAACCTAGTGAACAAATGGATCCAAATGGTAACTGAACAGTTAAATATTGTCAATATGCTTCAATCCGCCTTTGAACTCCATTTGGTGACCTCACAGTCAAGGGGTTCCACACACAGAAGAATCACACTTGGAGATCCACACTCAATTGAAAAAAACTGATGCAAGATCTTTGAGAAACACGGATCATTGAGCGACATGTGGCTGCAATGGGGCATTTGTCAGTAAGAATGCCGTGATCACTCGAGAAGTAAGAACAAACGATTCTCTTTGACGTTTCTGGTAGGAATTTGTGTCGTAACATGATCCTCCAGGACCTTCAAAGTGACCTTTTGAGATCCTAGAATGAGGTCACTTAGTCCCTAAAGAGGTCACTTGCAGACTCCAAAGAGGTCACTTTGAAGGTCCTGGCTAACATGTTGTTTTTCGACGTGGCCTATGGCTTCAAACAATTATAGTATGACTCAATGACCCAAACTCTACTACAATACATCTGTTGAAAGAACCATGAGTACAGGGTCGAGCCAGAACAAAAACAACTGGTGGAGCTATGCTGATGTAATTCCCAAAGATTCTGTCCTGATGCACCGCAAGAACTACTCTCCAGGAAGGTCGTTGGTTTGCAGGGTCAAAATCCTGAGGAACCTGGAGCCCCGACTCTGAATCTCTTAGAACTCCCAAAGGATTCGCCTGCTGAGCACACCTGCTCTTCAGCGCCAAACAATCCGCCTCCGAACGACGCAGCGACTCCGGCGATCTCCTCCCGACACTCGGGCGATCTCAAGTCCACTTGCCTGGCCACGGGCGAGTCTCGGCGCCAGTTCGGTCGGCGCGAGCGAGTTTGGTGGAACGACTTGGCAGACCAACGGCGTTGGTGTGGTTCCGACATCGGGTTTTGGGTGACGTTCCAAGATCCACGAGTTGTTTTTGTTGGACCATTTCAGGACCCGGAGCATACTGGGGTACCTATATGGGATAGTATAAATCATAGTAGATCTTGGGTTCTTCAACCTCTGTTGGCTAGGTTGCTCGAAGTGGGCACAAACAATTTCGGGGAAAGGATCTGGCTGCACATTCAGACTCTGGGTCGGGTGTGATGTGTGAAGGGATCTGCATGCTGGATTAAACCACAATGTCTGGGAGAACAACGAGGACGGCGACGACGACCACTAAACCAGCACAGCAACCGTGACGTCACGGTTTCCAATGTAGATGGAGCTCACCTAGAACTCGTGCGTCGATATGGTCATGCCTTGCAAAACATTCCAAGACCTCTGAACCTCGCCTTGCATGCTACCTGTTTTGAAAGGGCTCGGTTTCTCAGCAGCCCACATGGTTTTCTGAGGGCCCCCAGCCTCAATGAATTTGCTTTGCCTACTCACTCTTTTTTGAACTCTTAAACAAACAGCTGACGTGAATATGTCGCAAGGTCCAAGCAACTGGTTTGAATCTGGCAGCATGTTCATTGAACTCAAACCCCTGCTTCAGACGAGTTAAACTTCTTTTTCAGATCCCTCTGCAGATACGAATCCATCTGTGGTTATGGAACCATGGCACATTGACCTCAAAAAAAACAACACCCCTGACCGGGCCGTGTCAGCATTTCTAAGGCAGGTTCCCTAAACACTCTTCTCCTGTTTCAACTCCAAAAAGGAGTTCTAAAAAAAAAACACCACGGATTCTGTGTATCCATTCAAGCCCCGAAAAGGAGCTCTTTTCGGGGTGTCCATGTCTACCACCCTCACGGCGCCACGGCGGCAGCCGCACCTCACGGCCTCCGGCACCACGGCAGCCGCGGGAACCGCGGGAGTGCCGTCCGAGGAGCTCTCCGTGGACCTCACCTCCGCCAGGAGCGTCTTTAAGACCTGGAGGAGACGGCGCCGAGACTGACTCGTCTCGCCCTGAGGTTCTGTCTTCCACGCTGGGTAGTGAGGCTCTGTCAAGATCAAACTTAGTTGTCTCCACCACTCAATCAAATATAACATAGAGATTTATAGAGCCTGTATGCAAGTAGAGTAGACTTGTTATGGAGAGGTTAGCATTCTATGTGAGTGTGGTGTACTTTTTTGGCACATCCATTTCATACAGCACAGTATTAAAACACATCTGCATGAGCTCTCAAATGACAAGGACACGATGATACATATTGTGGACATCATCAGTTATAAGCTCCAGGTAGATCGGGAAAAGTGGTACCCTAGCTACAGGGTATTCAGGCTATGCACAACGGGTTTCACAAACCCATGGATGTGGATGAAGAACACATCTATATCTTTGGGGCTACAAAACTGCGGGCGTTGGATGGTGTGTGCCACGGCCTTCCATTCTTGCTCTTCCATGGCCCCTGGAAGTACAGCATCCATGCTGGCGGTGGTGCTGTGTGAGGTGGCCTGCGCTGCTGGACTTCGCGCGCTATGGCTGCGCGCAGCAGCTGGCTGCCGCCGTAAGCGCTTGTGATTGTGGACATGGCCGGATCAAATTCATTATGTTGGACTCTCCGCCTTTTCTGGTTACTCATGCCCTGCAGCCAGGCCCTGCACCCATGCTGACGCCAAAAGCCAAAGCGCCGACCTTGTGGCTGTGGTGCCATTCCGATCGGGTGCGCGCGGGACCCGTGTCATCTCATATGAAGCAGGCGAGGAAGTCGGACTCAAGGACATACATGGTTCAAGCTAGCTCGGATGGGCTGAAACCTCACAAGTGGAGCTAAACGCCTGGGCGCTTGGTAACTCAAAAGAACACTCGCTTGGGCTTTTGGTTCTTGATCTCTTTGATCAGCTGCCTGCACAGCAAACCCCCATATCATCTTGACTGTATTTTGGCTCAAGTTCTTCCATGTGGCCAAGAGAATCTCCTATACTTATACTTAGCTTGCGTCTGACACTCTTGTGGGTCACTCTTATGGGACACTCTTGTCGGACATTCTTGTGGGACACTCTTATAGGACACTCTTGTGGGTCACTCTTATGGGACACTCTTGTCGGACATTCTGGTGGGACACTCTTGTGAGACACTCTTGCAGGACACTCTTGTGGGGCACTCTTGTGGGACACTCTTGTGGGACACTCTTGTAGGACACTCTTGTGGGACACTCTTGTGGGACACTCTTGTGGGACACTCTGGTGGGACACTCTGGTGACACTCTTGTAGGAAACTCTTATAGGACACTCTTGTCAAACACTCTTGTGGGACACTCTTGTAGGACACTCTTGTAGGACACTCTTGTGGGACACGTGGGACACTCTTGTAGGACACTCTTGTGGGACACTCTTGTGGGACACTCTTGTGGGACACTCTTGTAGGAAACTCTTGTGGGACACTATTGTAGGACACTCTCGTGGGACACTCTAGTAGGACACTCTTGTGGGACACTCTTGTGGGACACTCTTGTGGGACACTCTTGTGGGACACTATTGTGTGATACTCTTGTGGGACACTCCTATAGGACACTCTTGTGGGACACTCTTCTGGGACACTCTTGTAGGGGACTCTTGTGGGACACTCTTGTGGGACACTCTTGTAGGACACTCTTGTAGGACACTCTTGTGGGACACACTTGTGGCACGCTAGAAACATTCCTCCGAGCGTTTCGTACGAGACGTCCTCCAAACTTCGAGGCTGCAAGACGAGCGTTTCGTACGAGACCTCCTCCAAAAGTCACGCGTCAAGTCTCCAAAACGAGCGCTTCGGACGAGACTTCCTCCAAAAGTCACACGTCAAGTCTCCAAAGCGAGCGTTTCGTACGAGACTTCCTCCAAAAGTCACGTGTCAAGTCTCCAAAACGAGCATTTCGCACGAGACTTCCTCCAAAACTCACATGTCAAAGTCTGCAAAACGAGCATTTTGCACGAGACTTCCTCCAAAAGTCAAACGGAAACACCCATCGGAGCACACACATCACGCTGCCTTGCCAAGCAGTTTCGCGAGTCCAGCCCTCCAAACAATACCCGCTCACACGCCAATCCCAATGTGACAGCGACATTCACCTCTACTATAACGAGTTTTCCACTTGCCATATATATATATATATGTTAAGTTATATCATCCTTAACATATTTTATAA